GCTCAGCTGTGTGTGTGTGTGTGTGTGTGTGTGTGTGTGTGTGTGTGAGAGAGAGAGAGAGAGAGAGAGAGAGAGAGAGAGAGAAATTCTGCTCAGATCTCACTTCCTGGACTCAGTGAAATCTTCCACTTTTACCTTCTAAGAGCATCAAAGTTCCTTTTTTTACTGTCAACTTCCCAGACTATCAAAAGTCTTTGGATACAAAGCTGTAGAGTTTTTCTTTCCCCTTCCAGTCCATAAAATAGATGGAATTAATTTTTTTCTCTTTTTTTTCTGGATGAAATTGTTGCAGAGAACCATCAGAGCCAGAGCAAGCAAGCTTGAGGATGGCATAATCTGGAGGCCAGTGGACAGCAGCCTTGGCTATCTCTGGGGCTGCCACTCTGGAGAGAAGAGGGCATGTTCACAGCATCTGGCCTAATGGAGAAGCCCATAGTCACAGGAGAGGTAGCACACCTGGCTGGGCACAGGGGTGCTCCCTGTTCCAGAGCAAGGGGCAGGTGGCCCTGCAGTGGACCACAGGGGCTGGGCTATCCACACTCAGTGCCCAGCAGAAGTCCAGGTACAGGTACTGAATGATGCTTTCCTTTACCTTGGCTCCACATTTCCTTTCTGTTAGGTGCTGTTTGGGCTGTGGGCCTGGGCCTTGTGTTAGAATGAGATTTGGACATGGAGTAGAAGAGAGTCATGTCCTCTTGGTTTTGATTCTAACCCAAAAGAATTGAGGCTGACTATGGAAGTTCCTTAAAATAACTAAAAATAAGTCTATCATATGACCCAGCTGCCTCACTTCTGGTATGTACCAAAGGAAACAAAATCGACATATCAAAGGCATACCCAACATACCTATCAACAGGTAAATGGGTAAAGATGTGGAATATATACAAAATGGAATATTATTCAACCATAAAAAGAATAATATCTTATTAAAATAGATGGAAGATACGCTAAGTAAAATACGTAAGACACAGGACAAATACCACATGTTCTCTCTCATATACAGATGTTAAATCAATCATAATATAGAATTATGGTCACAGGAGGTTCGGAAGGGTGAGGGGGAAAAGAGCTAGAAGGAGGTCAGATAATGTACTAAAACACAGTGAGACAGAAATAACAAATTCTAGCATTCTCCAGCACAGTGAGGTGACTGTAGTTCACAATAGCTCATTAGGCATTTGATGTATAACTGGCAGAGAAGCTCAAAGACTCCAAACACAAAGTAATGATAAGGAGATGAAGATATTAAAATTACTTTAATTGAACTAGTACATATTATATTGTATTGAAATATCACACTATAACTCCTAAATATGTACAATGATTCCGTGTTAATCAAAATGTTTTTAGTTTTTAAAGAGACGGAAATGGTAATGACTCCCATTTGATCATTACACATTGTGTGTAATCATTACACATGACACATACGTGTCAAATTATCACACTAGACCCCATAACTCTGTACAATTAAAACAATAATGAAATAAAGAATTTGAGGCTAAAATGGAAAGGTACACACACTCCTTTTCATGGGTCCTGGCAAATTCATTTGCACCCCCACTGCACCCTTGGGGAAAAAACGTGTGGCCAGGACAGTCTGCAGCTACTGAAAGGTCAGGAGCCCTGCTCTGTTCCTCAAAGCCCCGCCCCCACACCTGCAGATCTGCTCACCTGGTGATCACATAGGGGGCAAAGCACAGGAGGAAGGTCCCTATGAATGTGCTGATCTTCTTGGTGGCGCGCTGCCGCCTCCGCCTCTGTTCCTCCAGACATCGTTCCCGCACACTGCAAAGTGAAAGAGAGGACAAGATGACTTACGGGCGGCCTGGGCTGGTCACAGTGAGGTACTGTTGGTAAACACAGGCAGCAGCTTCCAGCTTAGGAACTTGGCGAGGGAGCCAGAGATGTAGGGTCAAGTTTTGGCTGTAGCTGTGTGATCTTGGGCAGAGTGCATGACCTTGCTAAGCGGCAAGGTCATCCTCTGCAGTATAATATTATACATTACATATTTTATTTATTTGCTTTCTTATATATATTATAATGAAACATCAAAAAGGGCTGATTAGAGAATTAAATGCATAAAGCACACAGATGCATGAAATGTGTTCAATGTATAAAGTACATGGAGCGATTAGCAATTGGGATTAAGAACAAATAAATGTTAACACTTATTATGCCACTTATATTGTTCACCAATCACCTGTTATATACCAGCTCCAGAGAGCTGCTCTAAGTGGAGTATCTGTAATTCTTGTCTTTACTATAAGTCAGCTCTGCCAAGTGCCTTCTACCGACCTAGTGGGTTTTACCTGCCATGTTTTACAGTAAAGACCATGAGCTAAAGAATGTTCTACTGTGAGGTTGGAACACTTTACTTGGCTGTCACATGGAGGCAGGATTTGAACTGTGCTCTGTTCCACTTGGGGCAGCTGGCGTCTGTGCATAGAAGAGTGGCCTGGGCGGGGCTACCTTTCCTCCACATCCTCAGCCTTGTTTCTTCTGTCCCAAAGACCCATCCCTGCTTCAAGTTAGAGGCACAGAATTACAGGGTCACAGAAGCAGAGCTCAGTGAATTCCTGCAGAGACCAAGCTTAGAGAAGCAGAGTGGCTACCATGTCCTGGTGGAACTGGAGACACAACTTGGAGGAGGGAATCAGGAGCCGCCAGTGCCCCCAACCACCCACGCCTGTTCCTACTCCACTCTTTCAGGGACATTTCCACCAGTGTCATTTCAGTGCCAGCTGAGAGCAGTGGCTCTTTTAATGCACTGTGTGCAGTGACAGCGAAGTGCATGCACAACAGCTACTCTGCACAGTGTCACAGGCAAGGAGCACAGAAAAGTGGCCCGGAAAGGCAAGGCCAGCTCAGCTCAAGGTTTCACATGCTTCAGCTCAAAGAGCCCAATATAGGCATGTGTTTTTATAGTTGATGTTCTGAATAATTCACAGGACTCTAAAGTGGGCAGAGAGGAAGACTGCAGACACAGTTGCCCAGGAAGTGCACATAACTTGTCAGAGCCTGGCTTGGGTAGAAGTGACCTGTCCCTCAAACAGGCTGGTCTGCTGTACAAAAGCAAGCCACGGAGAGAAGATTCATGAGGCAGATCCATGTACATTGTTAATGAAGAATGGCCTCCCCTCCCTTCAGAGAGGCCATCAATGTAAAGCACTCTTGTTACTCAGATTTCCTATCACAGAAGGACAACTCTATGTCAGTTTGGATTGAAGGATCCTAAAATTCTTGTGGATATTTTTCCCTTGACCTTTTCCTTTCCAGGGTTTTATAGAGTTGGGAACTGAAGTTGAACTTGGTACAACTTCACGTTTCAGAGTGGCTGAAAGTGTATTGCTCACAATATGACTTCTTATCTTCTAATGACTAATATAAATAATAACCCACAATTTCTGGGCCTCTAATATGTACCATTTTAGCTCCTGTGATGGGGGTTCACATGCATGGCACAGGTCTCTATGAGCTAGGGATTGCTATCATTATAGTCTCCACTTTTCAGATAAGGACACTGAGGCACAGAGGAATTAAGTAATTTCCGAGGATCACACAGTTGATAAGTAGTAACAGTAGGGTGAACAATTTGTTCCAGTGGTTTCCATTTTAGCACTGAAAGTCCTGTATCCTAAAGGATTCACAGGGAATGATTCTGGTTGGAAAATAGAAATTCCCCCATGTGAGAGCCATGAGAGTTGGTTACCCTGGGTGTTGACAGGATCTGAAGCCAGGGCCACTGACTCTGGAACTTTGGGCACCAGTTCTCAACTTGTCTGTGTGATCACATTTCCTGGGGACGTACTGGGACATCGCTGCACCCAGAAAATTAGAAGAATACAGCCAGTGGCATGGTGGGGACAGAGTAGTGGCTTTGTCTAAGCTCACATAGCAAGAGCTGGACTTAAATTCCCCGATTTTCCAGTTACACTTGGGTTTCTACAAAAGTTTTCTACCAAAGTCCTCTGGCTGGTGTGACACGTACAAGGTACAGAGTGGGAGAGGGAGGACTAAAGGCCACCTGTCCCTAACAAATGTCTGTCCCTGTGCTGAACAGTCATTCTAGTTATAGCTACTGTGAAATTCTCCTAAGACAATGAGGAATCAGGTTCAAAAGGGTTGAGGAAGTTCCCCAAGAGTGAAACAGCTCTGGCTTAGATGTTCTAAGCTCTGCCCTCAGAGTTGTGTAGCCTCAGGGATGTCATACAACTCTCTGAACCTGTTTCCTCATTTATCCAAGGGGAATTTCCCAATAGCTATAACTAGAGTTACCATTGATTGTGGGGACAGGCTCTTACTGGGGACAGACATGACTCACCAGTTACCAGGACTTTGAGGGTTGAGACACTTCCCCAGGTCCCCCTAGTAGGGCTGGGTCCCTCAGGAGTGGGAGTCCCCTCACTTGGCCATGCCAAATAATCCTTACCCCAAACATGAGGAATATTTAAAAATGGATGCTGGTGAAAGCTTTGGGGGTCTTCAGGAGAACCCAAAACATTTCTGTGTCTCTGAAGAAAAGAAATGAATCCTGCGCAGGATGAGGTGACCAGTGGCACTCCTGCAGGCTGCAAAACTCATGGGGACGAGCTGTGTTTGCTTGTACAAGGCCATGTGCAGCAGGGGAAGATTAGGCAGCAAAGTACTGTGCTCTACATGACTTCTTTGAGTGGTTCTTAGAACCATTGCCTGAGGTTCTACATTTCATGTCTTACACTCAGAAGATACTTAGTGTGTGTTGTATTCTGGTAGTTAATGAACTCTCCTTAAAAAACATAAGGAAATATTAAGACTTGATCTTTTTAAAAAGTAATCTTTATGAAAGAGATGATAGTAAGCTAGAAATATGTTCTAAAATAGATTTTTAAAGAGCGAATTTTAAAACCCTTGAGGCTATCAGCCAAAGCAAGGATTGCCATGGACATGAGACCAGGAAGAGCTTCCAGTGGCCTGGCCTCCCATCCTGGTTGGTAGCCTAGTGGTTAAGCATGAAGAACCAGAGCCACAAGTCTGGGTTCAAGTGCAGAAGCCACCACTTAATTACTGCGTGGCCTTAGGCAAGTTACACAGCCTCTCTGTGCATTAACTTCCTCATCTATAAAATGAGAGTAATCAGAGTATTTACCTCATAGAATTATACTGAGAGTAACTGAATTAATGTACGAAAAGTACCAAAAGAGTGCTTAACAGTTAAGCACTCAGTAAGTGATTATTCTTCATTCACGTGTATTTATTGAACAACTGCGTACTATGTCCCAGCTCTGCCTTGAACTCCAAAACCACAGAGCTCCCTCCACCTTTAGAAGTTCTCCCTGCCTGTGCATTCACAAGAGGTGGCTGCAGCCAGGGCCTGTGTCTGGGGTCCAGCGAGAGGGAGCTAGCAGCAGGGTGGCCTGGCAATGAGTCCTGACTTTAAGGTGGCCTGGCACACTGGAGCACAGAGGGGGTCTGTAGAACACAAGCTTGCCTGGGGGCATGTTTCTGCCAGGACACAGCAGCTGACTCTGCAGCCACAGAGTGTGAGGGGTCGGCTCATCCACCCTCTGCAGCTCACAGATAGGCAGACTGAGGCTGGAAGGAATAAGGGACTTGCATATCCAACAGTGGGGTGCAGGTGGGACTGGCTTCTAGTCACTGATTTCCAGCCTGGTGCTCCTAGTCCTGAGCCACATGGCTCTTTCCTGGGTGCCCTGCCTGCTTTCCAGGTGAGCACTAGGCAGGGGTAGGCAGGAGGTGAGTAGGGAAAGGTGGCCCCAGGTTGCAAGGGTAGCAGCACTACCCCTAGTTCTTACCATTGTTTAAGCATGTGCACCTGCTCTCAGAGTGACAGCATCATAAAGCCACTGGCACATTCTGTCTGCTCTTCCCCACCATAGCTTTGCAAATCTGAGCTCCCTGAGGTGCTGCAGCTCTGTGAGCTGCTATTGTACTTACTTGCTAATGAACACACTGAGGACCAGAAATGTTTAGGACTTCCTTAAGGTTGCATAAGGAGCTTAGGACTCATCCTAGGTCTTATGGTCCCAGGTTCTAGGGTGTTTATACCACTTCCACTGCTGCCTATAAAATCACTTAGTTCTGAGCAGTCTCACAACCCCCTGAGCCTGGTGGTGCACCTGAATTCCTAGGACTCTTAGGTGGAATCCAAAGTGCACAGGCTGAGAAGCCCAAAGCTCTCCGGAGGCAATCTGGCCAGGGTGTGAGCTTGTGGGATGCATGTGGGGTGAGTGTCAAAGTGGGCATCAGGGTATGTCCTGAAGCTGTGCTGGACAAAGAATTTTTTGAGACCAAAGGAGACAGGCTGTCTGGCATTGTGACATTTGGGGTCGAAGAGATGCTCCACATCAGGCTTTGGGAATTGGGGAAAGGGAGGGGCAATTCTGAGAATGTCTGAGAAGTCAGCAAAGGAAGTGATCTCAGATAAAACCTTCCAGCCACAGACACCTCCTTGCCTCTCCAATGAGTGTGTGTCCTGAATGATCCCAGACGACTGTAGTCCACCCAGAGAATAAACTTGAGTGCTCACAGTGGCTCTCATTGGTTTTCTGGCTTTTAAGGCGAGGGAAAAGCTTGCCCTGAAGATAAGAGACTGATGATGGGAAGAGCCCTGCATTAGGGATATAGATACTGGAGTAGCTGTCCTGCCCTCAGATCTAATAAGTGTGGTCCCTGCCTGGGCCCTGCACACTAGGGAGTCCACCCCTCTCCCTGTGAAATGAATAATTCACAGGTCTAAGAGCACCGCCCACCTACAGCCCACACCTTCCATTCTGGGCCAAAAGCGCCTAGAATATATAATTCTTTGCCAAAGGCCTTGATCCTGCATCCAAACTATGTTCCTCTATCTCCTCTGGTTCCATCCCTGAGGGTGGCTGTGCTGTCCATGTGCTTGAGTAGAGGACAGAGCGGGTGGCATTTGTGAGCCACCCATGTATGTGGCACATGGGCAGGCAACCTGCAATGTGCATCTGTGCAAGGGAGGCCCCTGCAGTGCTGGTAGAGCCACGGTGGGGAGGGGAGGCAGGCAGGCCAGCTCAGTGATCCCCAGCAAGTTCAAGGCTCTGAGGCTTCCAAGAGCCTGAGAATTCTAAATCCATACCCAGCCTTGCAGCTTGTTATATTTGCCAAGGTAAGAGGATAAAGCATATTTCATTTAACAGTTTATAAGCTTGATTTGGAACTTCTAAATACATACTCTTTGTGAGATTTTATTGGCCCCATCAAAATATCCTAGGGAATGAATCTGGGCTTGAGTAACTTTATAAGATCTTCTAAATCAGGCAAGTGCCCCTTCTCTAGGGTCTCTCAATTCCGTCATCTGTACAGTCAAGGGCACAGTGAGGTTCCATCTGCTATGCCACAATTGTGCCACTGTCCAGAGCCAGGCTTTGTAGACATGGTTCGTGGGTTATCTAGGAGACTCTGGAAGGCTGAGCAGACCTGGGAGATACTTAGAAGAAACGTCTGTCCAGCTCAGGCTGCTTCTTGCTTGAGTCCTCTTCAGCAGCACCCTGCTTCTATGCAATCATTAACCTAAGCCAGTGAGCCTGACCCTGGTTTGAACTGGAAAGAGCAGGGCACATGCATCTAGACCTGGCCTGATTTGCTCAGCCATTCCTGCTGCGCCAGGTAGAGGTCTGGCTGTCACTGTCTAGAGCTGCAGTTAGGGAGCACTGTACAGTGAGCACTGAGGAGGTAGAGGGCCAGATGTGTACCAGACACTGGAAACTCCCACTGACTTTATCAATGTTCTAATTGAGAAACCACCACAGGAAGACAGGAGTGAGGGACTACTTATTTCATTACTTGTTGCATTAAATATCTGCAGGAACAGCAAACAAATGTCATGCCGGGCCTCACAGAACTCAAAACATGACCCTTTTACTTAAGTTCCAGAAGGCCATTAGGGTGGTGGCTGAGAAAGAGTCCCATGAGCCAAGACTTCACCAGCTGCCCTGGGTGTCCAGAGAAAGAAGCATGGCTTTTGCTGACCCAAGGCAGGCACCCTGAGATCACAGAGACTCTTAGCACCAAATTGGCCAGGAGACCCAGTGTCTGAGGGTGGAGGCACCCAGGCATCCCCAGAGCTACTGCAGTTTCTTATTTGTATGGAGGAAGTTTGAGGCCAACAGGACAGAAGCAGATGGACTGCCTGGCTGTGCCCTTCTGTGCAGTCAATCCCCCATGCTCTTGCTGTGGGAGCCAAGCCTTCTGAGAAGGACAAGTTTGTGTTCACTAAGAGGTCCCCTATTCTATGACATCAGTGAGCTGAGATGGGGCCTGTGGAGCTGGCCAGGACAATCCCTGCTCAGCAGCCCTTCCTTTCTCCAACAAGGCTGCCCACAGGACCTGAGGCAGTGGGCACAGGGACTCCTCAAAAGAACCTGGTGCTTAGAAGAGGTCAGAGTCCCCCCTAGGGAAGTGAGGGGTGGACTGGATGCAAACAGAAAGGCTGCCTCTGCTTCTAAGACCTTCAGAGTCTTTCTCTGCACTTTCCGACCTGCAGTGAGGGAGAGGGATTTGCAGGAGTAGAGCTGGCCTTCCACCCTAACTTGGGTGAAAAAGAGCTACGAACTCTCCTATCCTGGAAGTTGAAGAGCTGGGATAGGGATTTACGCTGGTCTAAATGAGAACTGGTTCCTTTTTCAGCACCATCTCTCTTCCACCGTGAGACCCATGGCAAGAGGGCTCTCTTTAGGACTCACTCAAGTCCAGAAGTTAACATTTCCATGCATCTTCCAAGAGCAGTCCTGGGCCCAGCCCCAGGGTAAAGAGTGATGAGAAGGGGGATAGCTTTGCAATTGTGGTTGCAAAACATTTCCTTAAACCACTCTGAACTGTGCACAGACATAGGCAGTGAGAGCTGGTGCAAGTGCATTTGTACGTGACTGTGAGGGCGATTCTGTGTGGTAAGGAGATTGCTCCAGCATGTAATTGGGAACAATGGACGCACGCATGCATGCCCTGTTTGCAAGTATGGTGAAGTTCAAGGACCGCTCGTTATTGTTGAGGACAGGAAAATCTCAGCAAGGTGTTCTTGCTAAGATGGACACTTCTAGTATGGTCTTTTGGCCCTAAAGAGAGACCTGCATACCCCAGTGCAGGACTGAGCTCGCTCCACTGCCCCAAGGCTCCCTAGGTTCCAGGGCTCTGCTCACAGCAAGGGCCCCAGCCTTCCCTCCCCAGTGGTCTCTGCCTGCCTCATTCGTCCGTCCATCCATCTGATGCTAAAGCCCTTAGCTAGGATGCCAGGATGCTGAAGAGCCTGCTCTCGGTGGATGTAAGACAACGGACACACACCAACACTTTCTGTTTCTGCATCACTATCCTCATGAGGAGAGCTGAGGTGAGCTCAGGACAGCCCAGCTAAATTCCCTCCTCCTTTTCCCCAGGGATTCCTGGGCTTGCCAGGAGTTTCTTGCAGGTACTTGTGCTGCCTGCCTTCCTCTGCCTTCTGGAGAGACAGCAGCCAGTGAGGGTGGAGATGAGTGTGCAGGTTCAGTCCCAGAAGGTTGGGTGGGGGATGGCCCTCCTGTGGGGCCTCAGGACTCCAAGTCCAAGAGACACTGAGAAGTGCTCTCTGGGGAGTGGAGGAAAAGCCTCACCCCTCAGAGCCCACCACTGGGGCAAGACCAGCTCACTTGCATCTGGTGAGGACTCATAGGCACACACAGGGCAGCCAGACACCAGGGAGAAGGAAGGCACAGCGCGGCTGCCCATTCCGTTTGAAGAGCTCCTCGGGGCTTCCTACGCCTCTGGGCCCCACTGAAGGCCAGATTCCAACCTTTTAAAGACTCTAAACAGGGAACAAAGCCCATTGCTTTCCTATATGCCATTTTAAAATAAAAACTACAAACACAATGAGTATAAGGAGGCCCAGGGGACTTCTGGCTCCGCTTTCGATGGGATGCTTCAGAAAGTGCCGTGTGGGTCACGTCACCCACATTTTCTGTGGCTCTGTGTTGCTGACGTTCTAGCCAGCTGCTCGAGTCCCCAGCACTGGCTGCTCACCGCATCCTAGTTGTCCAGTGAGGAGCAAGGGCCTGGCCAAGGTGGACGCGGAGACCTCCCACCCCCACTGCTACGCCCTGTGCACAGCGCGCCCACCCGGGCCCCTCACCTGGGGTGGAGGTCCACCAGGAGCACGAGTGTCTGCATCGTGATCACGTCGATGCGCTTGCAGTGGAAGCGGGCCACCTTGAGCACCTTGAGGTACGTGAAGCAGAGCACGACGAAGGACAGCAGGAAGCTGAGCGTGTGGAAGGCGCCGGTGAAGACGGCAAAGCGCAGGCGCTCGTCAGGCCGCCGGCTGCACAGCGTGCAGGACGCATACAGCTGGTGGAAGCCGAGCCAGGACAGGGCGAGCGCGGCCGCCGGGAAGGTAAGCGCGTGCAGCCACGTGTAAGCCACCATGAGTGCGGCGTCGCGGAGGCGCATCTTGGTGCGGTAGCTCAGTGGGAAGACGACGGCCACCCAGCGGTCGATGCTGAGCGCGGCCATGCTGAGCATAGAGTTGGCAGCCAGAAAGGTGTCGAGGAAGGCGGCCAGGCGGCACAGGCGGTCACCGGCTGGCTGCCGCTGCGCCACGACGCCGGCCAGGGTGAGAGGCATGTTGAGCACGGTGCACAGCAGGTTGCCGCACGTGAGGTTGAGGGTGAAGAGCGCCGGCGCTTGGCGGCGGATGTCAGCGCTGTGCAGCAAGCAGAGCAGCACCAGCGCGTTGGACAGCAGCGAGACGCCCATCGTGCCCACTAGCAGCCCTGCCAGGCCCGCGTCCCACGAGTTCATGGTGCGCGCCCGCCACCGGCGCTCAGGGTCCGCAACCACACGCAGCCATGGCGCAACCCCCGGCCGCCTCAGCCCCTCGGCGCCGCTGCCACCCGGCGACCCCCGGCCCCGCCTGACATGGCTCCCCAGAGGGCGCGCGGCCACCCTGGAGCCCCGCGCCCCCCCGCCCCCCCGCCGAGCGAGCAACCTGGACTCCGCGCTAAGACCCAGTCCCCCGCGCCACCTCCGCCAAGCGCCGGAACGCGCTGCTGGACCTGGAGCCTTCCGTGCCCTGGGGTCCTTGCTGTAGGGCCGGTCCTGGCTCTGCTTCGGCCTCGGCTTGCTCCCGCCCTCACTCAGTTCTGAGCTCCGTCTGCTCTCTCCGCACGCCCTCCCGCTCTGCCTTTTCTCTCCCTCCCTCCTGCTCTGCCCTTCTTGCTTGCTCTTCCTTCCAGCTTCCCCTTTCCTCTCTCTCTCTCTCTCTCTCTCTCTCTCTCTCTCTCTCTCTCTCTCTCTCT